TTCGTCCAGGGCTACCTATCACTACTCACATTCATCCAGTGCTACCTACCACTACTCACATTCATCCAGGTCTACCCGTCACTACCCACATTCATCCAGGGCTACCAATCATTACTCACGTACATCCAGCGCTACCTACCACTACTCACATTCATCTAGGGCTATCTGTTACTTCTCACATTCATCCAGTGCCACCTATCACTACTCACATTCATCCAGTGCTACCTGTCACAACTCACATTCATCCAGTGCTACCTATCACTACTCACATTCATCCAGTGCTACCTGTCACAACTCACATTCATCCAGTGCCACCTATCACTACTCACATTCATCCAGTGCTACCTATCAGTACCCACATTAATCCAGTGCTACCTATCACTACTCACATTCATCCAGTGCTACCTGTCACAACTCACATTCATCCAGTGCTACCTGTCAGTACCCACATTAATCCAGTGCTACCTATCACTGCTCACATTCATCCAGTGCCACCTATCACTACTTACATTCATCCAGTGCTACCTGTCACAACTCACATTCATCCAGTGCCACCTATCACTACTCACATTCATCCAGTGCTACCTATCAGTACCCACATTAATCCAGTGCTACCTATCACTACTAACATTCATCCAGTGCTACCTGTCACAACTCACATTCATCCAGTGCTACCTATCACTACTCACATTCATCCAGTCCTACCTATCACTACAAACATTTATCCAGTGCTACCTTTCATTACTCACATTCATCCAATGCTACCTATCGCTACTCACATTCAACCAGGGCAACCTATCACTGCTCACATTCATCCAGTGCTACCTATCACTACTTACATTAATCCAGAGCTACCTATCACTGCTCACATTCGTCCTGTGCTACCTATCACTACTCACATTCGTCCAGTGCTACCTATCACTACTCACATTCATCAAGGGCTACTTATCATTACTCACATTCATCCAGGGCTACCTATCACTACTCACATTTATCCAGTGCTACCTACCACTACTCACATTCATCCAGGGCTATATATCACTACTTACATTCATCCAGTGCCACCTATCACTACTCACATTCATCCAGGGCTACCAATCACTACTCACTTTCATACAGGGCTACCTATCACTACTCACATTCTTCCAGTGCCACCTATCACTACTCACATTCATCCAGTGCTACCTATCACTACTCACATTCATCCAGGGCTACCTATCACTACTCACATTCATCCAGTGCTACCTATCACTACTCACATTCATCCAGGGCTACCTGTCACTACTCACATTCATCCAGGGCTACCTGTCACTACTCATTTATTCATCCAGTGCTTCCTGTCACTGCTCACATTCATTGAGTGTTACCTATCACAACTCACATTCATCCAGTGCTACCTATCTCTACTCACATTCATCCAGTGCTACCTCTCACCACTCACACTCATCCAGTGCTACCTATCCCTATTCACATTCGTCCAGGGCTACCTATCACTACTCACATTCATCCAGTGCTACCTATCACTACTCACATTAATCCAGTGCTACCTATCACTACTCTCATTCATCCAGTGCTACCTGTCAATATTCACATTCATCCAGTGCTACCTATCTCTACTCACATTCATCCAGTGCTACCTCTCACCACTCACATTCATCCAGTGCTACCTATCCCTATTCACATTCGTCCAGGGCTACGTATCATTACTCACGTACATCCAGCGCTACCTATCACTACTCACATTTATCCAGGGCTATATGTTACTTCTCACATTCATCCAGTGCTACCTATCACTATCCACATTCATCCAGTGCTATCTATCGCAACTAACATTCATCCAGTGGTACCTATCACTACTAACATTCATCCAGTGCTACCTATCACTACTCACATTCATCGAGAGCATCCTATCACAACTCACATTCATCCAGTGCTACCTATCCCTACTCACATTCATCCAGTGCTACCTATCACTATTCACATTCATCCAGTGCTACCTATGCCTACTCACATTCATCCAGGGCTATCTGTCACTGCTCACATTCTTCCAGTGCTACCTAACACTACTCATATTCATCCAGTTCTACCTATCACTAAACACATTCATCCATTGCTACCTATCAGTACTCACATTCATCCAGTGCTACCTATCCCTACTCACATTCATCCAGTGCTACCTATCACTATTCACATTCATCCAGTGCTACCTATGCCTACTCACATTCATCCAGGGCTATCTGTCACTGCTCACATTCTTCCAGTGCTACCTAACACTACTCATATTCATCCAGTTCTACCTATCACTAAACACATTCATCCATTGCTACCTATCAGTACTCACATTCATCCAGTGCTACCTATCACTGCTCACATTCACCCAGGGCTACCTATCACTACTCACATTCATCCAGTGCTACCTATCACTACTCACATTCATCCAGTGCTACCTATCACTACTCACATTCATCCACTGCTACCTATCACTACTCACATTCTTCCTGGGCTACCTATCACTACTCACATTCATCCAGGGCTACCTATCACTACTCACATTCATCCTGGGCTACCTATCACTACTCACATTCATCCAAGGCTACCTGTCACTGCTCATTTATTCATCCAGTGCTTCCTATCATTGCTCACATTCACCCAGTGCTATCTATCACTGCTCACATTCATCCAGTGCTACCTATCACTACTCACATTCATCCAGTGCTACCTATCACTACTAACATTCATCCAGTGCTACCTATCACTTCTCATATTCATCCAGTGCTTCCTGTCACTGCTCACATTCATTGAGTGTTACCTATCACAACTCACATTCATCCAGTGCTACCTATCTCTACTCACATTCATCCAGTGCTACCTCTCACCACTCACATTCATCCAGTGCTACCTATCCCTATTCACATTCGTCCAGGGCTACCTATCACTACTCACATTCATCCAATGCTACCTGTCACTACTCACATTAATCCAGTGCTACCTATCACTACTCACATTCATCCAGTGCTACCTGTCAATATTCACATTCATCCAGGTCTACCCGTGACTACTCACATTCACCCAGGGCTATATGTTACTTCTCATATTCATCCAGTGCCACCTATCACTACTCACATTCATCCAGTGCTACCTATCACTACCCACATTCATTCAGTGCTATCTATCGCTACTAACATTCATCCAGTGGTACCTATCACTACTAACATTCATCCAGTGCTACCTATCACTACTCACATTCATCGAGAGCATCCTATCACAACTCACATTCATCCAGTGCTACCTATCACTACTCACATTCATTCAGTGCTACTTATCCCTACTCACATTCATCCAGTGTTACCTATCACTTCTCACATTCATCGAGAGCATCCTATCACTACTCACATTCATCCAGTGCTACCTATCACTACTCATATTCATCCAGAGCAACCTATCACTACTCACATTCATCCAGTGCTACCTATCCCTACTCACATTCATCCAGTGCTTCCTATCACTATTCACATTCATCCAGTGCTACCTATGCCTACTCACATTCATCCAGGGCTATCTGTCACTGTCCCCTCTTCCCGTGCTACCCAACACTACTCAACCCAGTTCTACATCACTAAAACATTCATCCTGGGTACCTATCAGTACCACATCACCAGTGAACCCATCCCTACTCACATTCTCCAGTGAAACCCAAACACTATTCACATATCCAGTGCTAACCCATGCCTACCACATTCATCCATGCTACCTATCACTATTTACATTCTTTCCCGTGTTTCCTATGCCCACTCACATTCAAACCAGGGCTATCGTCATGCTCACATTCCCCAGTGCCCTAAAACCCTACTAATTCATCCGTTCTACCTTATCACAAACACATTCATCCTTGCACCATCATACTCACATTCATCCAGTGCACCTATCACTAAAAACATTATCCCCCTCTATCATTACTCACATTCCCCAGGCTACCTAAACCCTACTCACATTAATCCAGTGCTACCACACTCTCACATTCATCCAGTGCTACCTATCACTACAAACATTCTCCGTGCTATCTTTTCACATTCATCCAGTGCTAACTAAACCCTATCACATTCATCCAGTGCTACCTATCACAACTCACATTCATCCAGGGCTAACTATCACTACCCACCCTTCATCCATGCTACCTATCCTACTCACATTCATCCAGTGCTACCTATCACTACTTCACATTTATCCAGGTGCATCTATCCTACTCACGTTCATCCAGTGCTACCTATCACTTTTGACATTCATCCAGGGCTACCTATCACTGCTCACATTCATCCAGTATACCTTTTAACTACTCACATTATCCAGGGTTCCTATCTACTACTCACATTCATCGAAGGCTAACTATCAGAACATGGTACCTTGAAACCTGTATGAATCGAGCATAATTTCGGATCACTGTGCAGCGTTTCTGCCCACAAACCTGGGAGCTTTCGTGTTATCCTGGTCAATAGCTAATTTGATCTTGTCCATTAATACATTCCCTGCCTCTTAAGACAATTTAGAAAGAGTACCCAAAATAATTGCTAACATATCTTAGTAAATTTTAAACTGATGAATAGGTAAACACCAGTGACCACAAACATAGTTTGTATCGCTTGAAAATTCTTTTGCAAGACTGAGTGTTTTATAATCTCTTAATCTATTTTTTAACATCCTGAATTAATCTCAAATACATACTTAAACAATATTTGCAATGACATATAATTGAAAGCACAAATGAATCAACATGAGACACTAGAATATTTATGCCTCACAATGGGCGCAAAATTTTAATATTCATTAATTATGTTGCTTGCCTTCATTTTTAATTCGTTTTGATCATTAATCAGTATAATTATTTTTTTCTTTGGATATATTTGCTAGTACTTAAAAAGGAGTATGTTCAATATTAAATTATTTAACATGGAATTCGCATTGACGGTGGTCCTTTTTATCTTGGTTTTATGCTGACGATATAGAGCTGGACCACAAGGAAATGAGTTGCTACTCAGCTGGAACGACCCGAGTCCTCTCACCATCACCAACGTTTTACTACAGTCAGCATCAGACAATGCCCAGACTTGGATCAAAGGAAACAACATGATGGATCAGTGGACACCCGGGGGAAGTTAGTCATTGTTGTCTTGTAATTTTTAGGACATATCACTCCAGGCAGGGATCTAACCCATTTATTGTAGTAGCATTGTTATTTTATGTCTCTCTCTCTTTCTCTTAATCTCTCTCTCGCTCTCTCTTCTCTCTCCTCCTCTTTTTATCTCCTCCTCTCTCTCTTCTTTCTCTCTTCATTGTGAGTTGAAGAAACACTTCAAGTTCCCAAAAGTTCCCTAAATTGATTTTCAAACTGTAAATTTTATTCGAACCCAATGGTAAAAACACGCCGTGAATTAGAAAATTTTATTGAAACTAAGCTTGAAGAAAAGTCAAGTTACGTTTCCTTCATACTTGTTGTATGATCTGTAACTACCAAATTTTTGAATAAGTTTGTTGCTCTTTTCGAACCAAACATTGCTTCATGAAGGGAAAGAAAAAGAAACACCCATAACTAGAAGATCATGAATGTACTCACCTTGTTGTACTCACCTTGTTGTACTCACCTTGTTGTACTCACCTAGTTGTACTCACCTAGTTGAGGTTGCAGGGGCCGAGTCCAAGCTCCTGGCCCCCGCCTCTTCACTGGTCGCTACTAGGTCACTCTCCCTGAGCTTTATCATACCTCTGCTTAAAGCTATGTATGGATCCTGCCTCCACTACTTCGCTTCCCAAACTATTCCACTTCCTGTGTTGAGGATCTGATGTTCTATACAGATGTAATGCATCATCTCCAATATTTAAATCTGGTACTTCAAGAAACAAAGTTATTACACATCTTGACCAATCACATTTCAGATTTCAGAATAAAACAAAACTTTTTAAAAGACATCTGGGAATATAGAAATTTGACCACTTTCCCAAACTTAAATTAAGAATAGTTGTTTTTCTGATATTGAAATTAAAGACTAAAATAAAAATACGAAGAAAATATCGAAATATTTTATAATAATAATATAACATCTTTATTTCTACAAGTACAAGTACAAGTACAAGTACAAGTACAGGTACAAGGTATACAGTCCTAGCTGACATCACTGACATAAATAACTACTATATAGAAAGCCCCTTGTTATGCAGAACAATTCGGGCAATATTAAGTCAGTTTTGCCCCAGGATGCGACCCACACCAGTCGACTAACACCCAGGTACACATTTTTACTGATGGATGAACATAGACAACCAGTGTAAAGGAAACACGCCCAATATTTCCACCCTCGCCGAGAGGTGTGTCACCAGGCCGCTGGCCGCAGTTATGACGAATTTTAGAACAAATTTGAAAAACTAAAATAGTTAAAGTCATGTTCTGAATTTCTTTTGAATTCTTTAGTGATTGACGTCATCAACGATGGATGTCCTGTTGTTGCACCTTTTACCTCAGATGTTGCTTCGATATAAACAGAGCTTATTAAACTGCAGATGAAGTGGGTTTGAAGCTAGTACATAAGACTCATCTCTAACAGAGTTTTGAAAGAATTCGCAGAGTCAAAGTATCGCAATGTTCAGAAAACTGACTACTGACTACTCTGTGTTTATGGGACAACTTACTGCTGTGAATCTCTCTTCTCTGTAATGAAATTTATAATTGTGCTGTCCTTATTAACATCACCTTACTGAACGTCTTAAATCATCTTTGACTCTTTTTTTCCAGCCTGATTTCAAAGTATTAACTTCATAAATAAAGCCTCAGTTAAAATCTTCATTGAGCAGAGATTAAACATATTCTGCTATGGTGAGTAGGATTACTGTATAGTTGTTGTGTTTTATTATTTACAAATGTAATTTTAAAATAATATTTCCTGTGGCTCTCGAGCATTTAAAAATATATGAGAAGTATTATATGGGGGTCTTCTTATCTGAGAACTTACCCGCCCCTGTTATATAGACCGTAAATCCTGTGTTACCTGATTAAAATTATATGTTTTTTTTTTTTTTGAAACTAATTATATCTTTCCTTTCATATCTCTTTTTTCTGTGTGCCATAAAGCTGTGTGCATTTATTCGATATCTGTGTCCTGTTCATCTTATAATATTTACTTTTTCCAATTTTTATTTTCCTTAGCAGGAGAGATGACCTCTACCTCCATTTCACTTACATCATAATTGGTATCCATACATTGTTTTAAGAAAACATTTAAACACATCGGCCTTCTCCCACAGAGGTAGAGAGAAGGAGACACTTTCACTCTTACTTTCACTGTCAGTCATTCAATCACTGTATTTCCAGAAGTACGTTAACATCACTGTTCAGATGATCTTTCAAACCAGGAAGTATGTTTTTTTTTATAAGTTTTATATTGTTAATTTAACTACTGTGTTTTTGATGACAGCATTCCCTTTCTAATGAGGATCATATGTATTATCTGTATTGCTATTGTCTCCCAGACGTCACCACGCCAGGAGATTATCGAGCTACAATTACGAAGAAAGTTGCTGTCGGTAAAAACTCAACAAACTATTCCACTACCTTTTACTGTAAGGGAGCAAGAGACTGTGAACTTTTCTTCATGGCAGCAGCAAACTTCAATGATTACTACCAAGTTTGTGAGTAGGATTTGTCTTAATAATAATAATAATAATAATAATAATAATAATAATAATAATAATAAGAAGAAGAAGAATAAGGATAAGAATAAGAATAATGTGTGTTTCTATAAAGTTATATTGTATAATTAATACAGAAATAAATGGCATGTTTTCTTTTTTTATTGGATGTCCCTGGCGATGCACAGCATTCTGGACAGCAGTAAAATTTACTTGTAACTACTGACCTTAGTGAAATTAAATTGGTTTACGTGAATGCTAAAGTTTACAATCTCTGATACTAACAATAACAATTTAGTTTATGATTATCAAACTATTTAATTATTTTAGACATTTTGTTTTACTATTAACAATGGTTATGACTTATATAAGCATAAATTGATGATAATGAGACCTACAGTGTGAATGCTGATATGAATTAGATTAACAGGCAGGTTGTTGATGAATTATTCTCCATGACCACAATGTTGTAGCATCAAGGAAAACATGCTCAGTTTCACTGGGCACCTGGTGTTTGAGAATTGTTTGTCCAGTGGATGCATACATTGCCTTGTTCTCACAGAGCTGGGCAAAGTGATGTAGGATAAAATCCTGGCTAGCTGCAGTTCTGTTAATATATCGAAGATAAGATAAGATCACAGTAAACAGGTGATATCACAATATGCAGAACAACCAATCAGAAAAAATAGTGAAATTCCAAGTGCTTTTATGACTTCTCACAATATCAAGGAACGAAAAATAAAAGATTACCTGGAAGCCATATAAGGGCAAGACTACACCTCACAGTCACATCACAACACCCGACTCTGTGAAACACAACTGATACTCAACCCATGCATTAAGATATTTTACTTGTCTAATGTATCTTAAATTCTTCCCATTTTTTTTAATTATAAACGAATCCAGTTTGCATAAGTATTACAATCTTGTCCACTTCTAATGCTATATTTATGATGTTTTAATCTTAGCTCAAGGCTCTTACCAGTTTGACTGCAATAAACTTTATCACATATTTTACAAGGAATCTTGTAGAAACACCCATCGGCATTTTGGGAGAGATTTTTTATCAAAAGATTTTTTTTACTGTATCAAGATTTTTAAACACAGCTTTGATAATAAAATTCTTAAGTATACAAGGCATATCAACCAAGTTTTCATAGTAAGAGAGAACCAGCATATTTTCAGTTGAATAAGGTTGGTTGTCCATTTCTGAATTGTAAAAAGTTTTTCTGGAAATTTTAAAGGATTTATCAATTATGTTTCTTGGGTATTGTAGACCATTAGCTATTTCATAATTTTTTAAGATTTCTTCATCTATGAACTCTGGACTACAAATACGTAACGCTCTCAAAAACATTTATGAAAATACCGACAATGAAGAATAATAGTGTACATAGGAACAGTTATTTGTTGGTTTTCTGTAAATTTTAAATTTAAAATCATTGTTACTCTTAATAACTAAAACATCTACAAAAGGCAGTGAGTTATTTTCTTCGAATTCAACCGTAAAATTTATAGAATGAGCTGAACTATTTAATTTAACAAGGAAATGGTTTATATCTATATTCTTAGACATGAGACATAAAATATATATCCCATCGACACCATGCCTAACCCTTCTAGGGTAGGGTAGGTGCCTGAGCCCGAGCCTTTAGCTCATAAGACTGTCATTCCCATTTGCCCCCTTGTGGCGGGGATGGCAGACCAGAGAGGCCTAGCTTGTGGCTAGGCCTGGGGACAGTTGGTCCCAAAGATGAGGAGGTACTTGTGCCTCCTCCCATGGGAGACTTAGGTCTCAGACATTCCCTAAAGAGGGAGCCAAGGCCGGGCCACCACTTGGACAAGGCCCAGGCCGGGAGAATACCGGCTAATCTTTACCTAACCTAACCTAACCTAACATAAAATATGATCAACATATCTATACCACTTACCTCTATCAGGAAGAAATGTTTTAAGCAATCTTCCTTCAAAAAAATTCCATGTATAAATTACTAAGAACAGGTGAGAGAGGATTTCTCATTGCCATACCAAACTTTTGAGTGTAAAACTTGTCATCAAACACAAACTTTGCATCAACAATTCAGAGTTTAATAAGTTTTAAGAAAATATATATAAACCATTTCTTTGTTAAAATAAACAGTTCAGCTCATCCTATAAATTTTCCTGTTGAATTCGAAGAAAATAACTCATTGCCTTTTCTAGATGTTTCAGTTATTATTATTATTGTTATTATTATTATTATTATATATAATATATAAATATATATATATATTTTATATATATATATATATATATATATATATATATAATATATATGTATGTCGTGCCGAATATGTAAAACTGGTCAATTAGCAAGAACTCATTTAAAATTAAGTTCTTTCTAAAAATTTCTCTTATACGTTTAAAAATATATTTTTTTCATTAATGTTAATGTAAAAATTTATAATTTTGCATCAAAAGAATCTTAGAAAACTTACCTAACCTTATTATAACAAGAACAATTTATTTTAGCCTAACCCAACTAAATATATTTTAGATTTATTTACAATAATTTAATACTAAACAAACACAGTGAAATATGACTCAAGAAATCGTAATGACATTCTTGCTAACGCGACGGTCTGGAGTTTTGAGACTCTCTGACCGCGGGATCAAACCCCACCCGTGGTATGGTTTGTTTACAGTGAAATATATTTTTCTCGTTAGGTTCAGAATGATTTTGGCGAAATTATTGCATACACAAATTTTCGCTTGTCTTATATGGCAAGATTAGCGTTGCTATTTAAGCCAAGATCGCAAGTTCTACCTATTCGGCACGACATATATATATATATATATATATATTATATAATATATAATATATATATATATATATATATATATATATATATATATGATGAAAGTTAAGACACTTGTGCAACATCTGGTTATCTTATTGTAAACGTTTCGCCATCCAGTGGCTTTATCACTACAAATTCTTGGACATAATTAGAAAACAGAAGAACTATATACAAAAGATGAGGTAATCAGTCCCTCAGCCTTGGAGGTGGTGTTTACAACACCGTGGTTGTAGAAATAAAGATAACCAGATGTTGCACAAGTGTCTTAACTTTCATCTTGTCGATATTGTATACCTGTCTTGCATATATAATATATATATATATATATATATATATATATATATATATATATATATATATTATATAATATATATATATATATATATAATATTATATATATGGAAATAAAGGACCCCAATGGAAATAAGTCACTCTGTCTGACTTTTTTGGGTTATCCTAGGTTCTCTACACATATGCTGCTATGTATGATAATTCTATGTAACTGTATTTGTGTATACCTGAATGAACTTACTTACTTACTTACTTACTTACTGGCCAAGGAGTCGACCCCATGCTGTTTTGGCCTGCCTCTTGGTGAGAGAAAACGCATGGCACTTTAGACCACTAGACCACACAATCCTTAACAATTGATCAATACCACTTGTTTCGTGGGTACAATAATATAATATACTGCTTGTTTGGCTAGTACACAAACAGGGAGTAGAATGAAATTAGCTCAGAAGCGTCCACACCATCTTATGTCCTTCGATGGTGGGTACAACGTCTAGCTTGGCTGGATGCACCATTGTTAAGGATTTTGTGGTCTAGTGGTCTAAAGCGTCATGCGTTTTCTCTCACCATGAGGTGGGCCAAAACAGTATGGGTTCTACTCCTTGGCTAGTGCAGTGTTGTTATTGATCAATACCACTTGTTCTGTGGGTACAATAATATAGTGTATATATATATATATATATATATATATATATATATATATATATATATATATATATATATATATATATATATATATATATATATATATATATATATATATTTAACAAACCTGCCGCATCCCACCAAGGCAATGTGGCCCAAAAAGAAAAACGAAAGTTTTTCTTTTTAAATTTAGTAATATATACAGGAGAATGGGTTACTAGCCCCTTGCTCCTAGCATTTTAGTCGCCTCTTACAACACGCATGGCTTACGGATGAAGAATTCTGTTCCACTTCCCCATGGAGATAAGAGGAAATAAACAAGAACAGGAACTAGTAAGAAAATAGAAGAAAACCCAGAGTGATGTGTATGTATATATATATATATATATATATATATATATATATATATATATATAATATATATATATATATATATATATATATATGTATATATATATATATATATATATATATATATATAATATATATATATATATAAAATATATATATATATATATATATATATATATATATATATATATGCTTGTACATGTATGTGTAGTGTGACCTAAGTGTAAGTAGAAGTAGCAAGACGTACCTGAAACCTTGCATGTTTATGAGACAGAAAAATGGACACCAGCAATCCTACCATCATGTAAAACAATTACAGGCTTTCGTTTTACACTCACTTGGCCGGACGGTAGTACCTCCCTGGGTGGTTGCTGTCTACCAACCTACTACCTATAAATGAAAATACACAAGTAAAATAAAATGAATCCACTTTTATACAGCCTACTTATATACAATTTGTGGATGTGGGTATGAGGATTTCCAGAACTATTTCCTGGAAACACTGTCATGCATGAGGCAGATGAACACTGAAGAAAAAAACTCGAGTGAAGCTGCTAGTGAACACAACTAGTAACAGTAATACAAGTTGTTCATGGACAGTGGCTGGCTGCCTTTTAACACTGATTAACTGGGCAAAAGAAAACAAAAAGCTCTGAAACAGAGCATATAAAAAATTGTGCCCAATTTATCCTCTAAATGAACCACCACTTTACATTTTTATTAACTTCACAGTTAAGCTTATTCAGTGACCAATGCCAGGTATTTCATAGTTGGAAGAAATATCACTATTACAAAAGAACAGATTCATCATTCAGAATGATTTAACCAAACAAATTTAAATCAATATACTGTCATTTTCAAAAGAATGTGTAA